ATCAAAACAATGAAGTATAATATAGTCCTTCGAACATTCTAGGTGGGCAAACCAACCGATATTATTCTTGTCAATGAATAAATGAATGACCGAATGAAGGAATAAACTCACCCATTTTTAATTGATTTCTGTGTAAAATTGTCTGTCCTGCTCTCCTCTGTTAAAACGTTACCACCTTCCAAACTGATCTTCTCGCTCAATGAACTCAATGAACTACCAACAGAATCTTTTCTTTGGACACCATTTCCAGTATAAGAATTGACATTCACATTTTCGTAAATATATTTTGATGCCGGTAGCTTCACGTGTTCTTTTCCGACATCGTAATTATCTGCGCTCCAATCAGCCATATTCTGATTTTAAGAGAAGTACACGTCTGGTATTGACAAAGGTTAAAATTAAATATGAGTAAAATTATGTTAATTATCGAGAATACATGACGGTAACCACCCACTCGTAACGTCTTTCTTATCTTTATTTATTCTTTCAGTCATTCAAACCAAACGGTAAAGAATAGGTTGAGGCTCAAATTTGATGTCTACTATTATAATGTCTATTATTTTAGCATGCAAAAACCGGTTTGACGGGTCTATCCACGCTTCACGAATTAAGCCGTCAATTCGTTTGGGGTTGTTTGGTTTGTATTGGCGACCGATTTATTTTCCAATCAATAATTTCAATGATAAGGGGTTTCCCCACACAAATCAAGTCCATAGAACAATATGAACACGTTTGTGATTGATTATTGAATATTTTTTATAAATACCACATGAATCACCACTTTTGTACAGCCTACAAAGGTTATAAATTTTCAGGGATGGAATTGAAGCTAAGTGACGCGTTTATTACCGCAATTCTCTATCGAAAGCCGGATCTAAATTCAATGGTAGTCCCCAAACTAAATATAAATACTGTCTTTTATGAAGACCTACCAAGGTTAAATAGGTACTACTCACGTTTTCAGAATGGTTCGACTTCCCCTCTTCCAGACCAATTTCTCATCATTAAAGTGATACTACGTCTTAGAATGAACATAAAATTTAAGTTCTCAAGAATGGTCATACCTGGTGTCATAAAGTTACAACAAATTCCCTGCAAAATCTAGAAAATTGGAAAATTCTTAACACTAAGTAATTATTGAAAAACGCTTAATCATAATATTAAGCGTTTTTCAATAGTTAATTGCATTTTTATTAAGTTTTTAGGATTTATCGGATTATATAAGGATCCTGTTATGTTATATATGACACCAGGTATGTCTACTGATGAAAATATGCTCTTATTGGCCAAGTTTAAAATTTTAAATTTTATGTTTATTCAAAGACGTATTATCACTTTAATTCAACCGACATCATCATTAAATGTTATTACACACGAATCTTTAGTCATCTTTCCTTTTTGAAAAGATAATAAAAAGTTCAGCGTTCAGTTAAAGAAATTACTGTATTATTACAGTTTTGTCTTAATGTCGATCGGGTCGTGGTATATATTTCCGTGTTTTCGACTGGCGACCGACTGAAACCATTTCATAAGATCGGTCGAGACATGACCATAGCACTCATATAAAAAAAACCTCATCAAAATGATTATAAGTACTGGACCATGCGGGACAGATATAGATTTAACCAAATGTGGAAGGTTAAAAAAAACTTGACTCTGATAAAATATTTTAATATTAAACAAAATGAAGAATATAGAAGATAAAACAATAGGAAAAGAAATGATTTTATATTACAATGAGGAAAATGTTGGCAGAACCATCTAAAACCATGTTTTTCACATTTTATAAAATATAGAGGTATATAGTAATGGATGTTACATATTGCACAAATATGATTTTATATACAATCATATTGGTATAGAAAGGAAGGGTTCCAAACATACATCACAATATTTCAAATTGTTCTGTTCTCAAAGCCTGCAAAAAAAACAGTATATTTGGATCCAAGATAGTTATTAAGAATTGTTAGAGTTAAAGTTTTGATAAAGTGTTCTAAACATAATAAAATATCAATTTCATAAAGAAAGAAATACTTTCAAATCAAATTTCCCTATTTCTATTTAAATTTAGATGAGCTTAAAGGCTTACGAGAATTTTAATGGCAAAATACCACTACAATTTCCATAGACATATTGATTTAAATAATCATTTTTAATCAACAGAAGAGTACTAAACATTCAAATATATAATCTAAGGGTGATATGTTTTAATTGTCCTTTATGTTCAAATTAGTAAATAAATTTGTCTTGAATATATCTTTAGATATGCAGATCATTATTCTATATCTGTAAAGTATTGAAAGTTAGGAAATAATAGTTTTTCTCATTCTTCTAAATATAACATGACTAATAATGAATTGATGATATCACAAACCCAAAAATACCCTAAACATAAATTCACACCTTGTCAGTATTAATAATTCCAAAAAATTACATCATTATAAAACTTTAAAATCAAAAATAATATTTTTCTTGTATTGGAAATATAGAATAAGCCTTCTAAAAAAATATAAATAAGGCTTCTCACTGCTATTCAGAAAGGAAAAAACAAATGAAACAAATGCTTTCATCAAAGAAAAGATGCTTTGAGAAACTAAATAAAAACTGAATTTGTGAGACACAATGGAGAGAACACATTATAACCAGTTAATAAGTCAATTAACATAATTTTTATGTATATTGCATAAAGTTATTAATATTAAAATAATACTAAGAGTAAGTAAGTTTTGTTATTTTATATACAAATTCATTCTTTAAGCATATTACTAGTATACTATAACTTACTAACAAGGCTATCTAACAATGTTAGGTAAAGCTTAGGTTCCAACTATCCTCTTTCCTGGATTATCTCTTCCTAGGTTGACTGGAATACTGAGGACAGAATGATAGTCTTATTACACGTCATCAGATTTCTTAGGGACTTCCTACTGCAACAACATCAATGCTATTAAAATGAAATGAACAACATTTTAACTGGCAAGTAAAACCTGATTTATCTTGACAAGATTTCTTCACTACACCTTTCTCTCTAAATTCAACATGATGAAAATATAACAACATACTATATTCAACTAAAGCACTACTAGATCTATATCACTACATTTCCTGTTATCATTATTAACTCTTTAGAAAAACATGTTATCAATAGATTAGTTATCCAGTTTTAACATCTAATTTCACTCACTAATAAAATATACTTTCACAGCTTTCCTAATCAAGCTTAAACAAGGCTACAGATAAATATTCACCCCAAGTGAAGTCTAGTTGATGATAATGTAAATGATTATGATACCAATTTTAGAAATTATATATCAACATATAACTATATTAAGATTTGTACTTGAAAAGGCTGATTATCTGAATTCAAATCGTAATAAAGGTTTGCAGATATCATCATCATTATCACAACACAACATAACATTATCATTATATATCTTCTGTAAAGAATATTTAATTATCATTTAACATAATCATCATCATTATTATTCCATTCTAGAGCATTCACAATTTTAACTTTAGCAACATTTCTATCCAAAAGTAACATTTCAGATATATTTCTATCAGCTACATTATCATCATCTAAACATCACCATCAATTTCATCAGCAGTTTATGACATTATAATACATCAACATAATATTAAAACATTAGCACCTTATTACATCATTATCATGCCTTAAATTATAAATACCATCATCACTTCAATCATACAAGGCATTGAGTATTTTCTAGAATATAATTAAATACATATAGTTCCCAAATTACAAAATCATTATTGAAAGATAATTAATAACAATATATTGATAATGAAATGATAAATAGATGCAAATGCTCTTTAGACACTTTTCTAATTTTCTACCAGTTTACAAACCCTTTCCAATACATTGAAAAATTCTAATAAGAAAATCCTTTATGCTTCCACACATTCTTTAGACACATAATGTAGCAATACAAGTCAGTTTCTAAACTTATTACAATTCATGTATATTAATAATGTAATCATCCTTTTATCTAATACATTTACTTTCTACTCTTTTAAACTAAGGACCTAGCTTAATCTTTAAATTTATTCATTCATTCAAAATTTCAAACCACACATAAAATAAACTAAACAAAAACAAACACATTTTCACTTTTATGGTTGGACACAATTGGTTTTGTATTTTTAAATTATTATGTCTATCTAGGGAAGAAATAATGGCAAGGTGAAATGCCTACAACAAAACCCTTAAAGTGAATACTGTGTTTGAAAACCACAATTACTGTGATAGAGATTCAAAAGGTATGCAATCATGTTGGGCATAGCATTTGATTTATGAACTCCCTAAAATTATTCTCAATACAGTATCTCAAAGATGCATTTTACAGTTTCACTTGTTTGGAAGTCAAAAGCATATATGATATTGTCAACAGCTTGATCAGTGTCCTGAACTTTGACCTATTAACCATTTTAACAGCAGTTTATAAGAGCATGTATTCGACTAGCTATGAAAGACAAGGGGTCACAGGGGAAGCTACTCTAACCTATAAATTATACAATTTGAGTTGAGGTTAGATTTAGGCATATGAAGGCACCAATTCTTAATCTCATTTCAACATTATTTTGGCAGTTGTGATAAAAGTGTGCCTGTGAATAATAATTTATATATATCACTAGCACCATGTTACCATGTTGACTTTATTATGTATATCAATGATCAGGAGTTCTGAAATAGAGAAAAAGACATGGGATAAAGGAAATGGTAATCACTATGTATCTAATTGTTTCAATGCTTCCAATTCTAAATGTTGTTCACTTTTTGTTTTTTGGCTAAGACAATTCTTGTACACCAGTTCAATCAATATCTGTAGACCAACACAAGAGAATAAACAGATAGATAAAAAGACAAGTTCTTGTTAAATTGATAAACAGAAAAAGTATTAGGATAATATATAAGGACACATTTCAGTGACATTACAGCAATATTTGTTCACCTTTTTAAATCCATAGAATAGAGAAACTTACACAGTATTATTAGGTACTATGGCACTTAAACTAGCTGGTCTACGAGACTGAACCTGACGTTGTCGAGCTAAAAATGACTGGCCACCTTCACTGGATGTAGATAACCTTTGTTCTACCGCCTGACGTTGTAGTTGACACCCCTGAAATATGATGAAATGATACATTTGAGACTTCTCATTTCTGTTTCTGTCTAAATTTCTAAAATCTGTCTTTATCAAAGAATGGTCAAAGGGGAAATAACTCTTTAGCTTTTGGTTGATATCATTGCAGTGTGAATTCAGGCAAGCAATTCCCACTGTACGATTTCTACAAATGTGACCCCAAATTACAATAAATGATAAAATTTACCAATGAATAGAATGCTGATACTCTCAACTGATCTTCATAATCTATTCTAGACTTTGTTTTAGCTAAATCTTTCTACAATAAAACAAGAGACAAAATTTGGTGAGAAATTTCTCTAAGGGAAGAAAACATAATAAAATCAACATTTCTTTTTAATTCATTTCAACTTTGGATTACGAAAAAAAATGAAAATCATATTCAGAAAAAACATGTCTTAAGTGACATCAAAAGTAAATGTGAAATGGCACACCTCAATTGCAACTCAATATTACATGAAGGTAAGTTTATATAAAAGTTTAGATTTTACCTCTAAATATTCAACATATCTCTGTCGTTCTGTTAGTTGATTACGTAATGCCTGAGTTTCATTTGAACTTGATTTATGTCTAGGGTCTAAGGTTTTAATGATCTGCAACAAAAAATACACAATGCCATTTTCAAATAGAATAAAACCAAGATAATATACTAATTTGATTGGTAGATAAAGCTTCACCAAAAAATGGACTTTATTGATTAACCAATCAAATGACTAAACACTAAACTCAGGTAAGTTAAATTATTGTGAAACATTGCCACCTTTTTCATTTTTAATAACAGATAAAGGTAATTCTTAGGTGCAATAAATCAGAAACTTTTTGTCAAATTATTAGCAGATTGAAAACTCATTTCATATTATTCTGCATCAAAATTAAATGATAGCAATAAACTTCAATCCAAATTAGTATAACTGTCCATTACAAACTAAATTAGTGTTAAACTGGCTCTGATAAGCTTTGCTACTATTGACATTTGCACGAAAGAGTGATCACAGCAAGTTTCATAAAAATGGAAAAAGTCAATTTCCACAGCATATTATAAAGATATTTGTAACTTACATGTCTAGCTTTATCAAGATATTTTTTATATCTTTCTTCCATTAATTTCATTTCTTCATCTTTCTTTGATAATTCATTTTCAAAATCTTTCATTTTCTTGTCTTTTTCTGTCAATTTCTCTTCTAATGAAAGTTGTTTATTTTTCTGTTCTTCTAACTGATTATTACTTGATTCTAATTTTTGTTGCTGTAAGTAAAGAAAGTCATCTGTCTTATTATCTTAGTTTTCACAGCAAGATCAAATGAATTTAAAATTTCTGCTCTTTTCCTATTTATTATATAAAAAGATGCAATACCAATGCAAAATGAGGTAATTTTGTCAATCATTTTTTCCATTCCTAACTGTTGGAAGATGTTCAATGAGCCCAGCTTGAGGCATACAGCAAGTCTAAACCAGACAATATCAAACTTTACAAACACACGATCTGAGTAACATGTCACTATACTGACTGATGGAATCACAATAAAAAGAATAATATGCAAAAATCAATAATATTAAGAAAACTAGACAATGTACCTGTTGTATCAATTTCTTTTTAATTTCTGTTAATTCTGAATCTGAGGGTTCATTTTCTTGTAAAACTTCGACCTGAGCTTCTAGTTCTAATATTCTTTGATTTAATAACCTGAAATATTTAAACATGTTTAAGAATCTTCTGCAAATAATAATTAGTTGTTTGACATCTCAATATTGTTCAAGCAGATCACTTGAAAACTTGACGCTTTTCATCCCATAAACAGATGAGCCTAGAACTTGCTGAGTCGTTTAATACCAAATCGAATAATTCTGGGAATTTACCTAACATCAGTTTCTAACTCATTTTTCCTGGCGCTAGTTTTTTCTAGAGCAAATTGTAATGGTTCTGTTTGTTCTGTTAATTGATCAGTATTACCCAATTTTAACATTTTATTTTCATGTTCAAGTCGTAACAGTTTCTCTCTGAAAAAACAACAAAAAACACATAACATATGAGTAATCAAAACACTATGAAAATCATGGGTTCTGACAATATATATGTGAACATGAAAACCGGATGGAGTTTACTGTATCTGCACCTGATTAAGAACATGAGCACTGGCAACCCCATGCAGTATGCAATGAGGACAGGAGCATTAGACGATTTAATTTTCAACATGACTTACTTCATTTCCATTTCCTGAGGAGTAGAACCCATATTATTGATATTACCATTGCCTCCACCTACATTTGGTGTCTGAAAAACCAAATCAAAAAATTTGAATGAAAATTACTGCACATAGTAAGGAATGAGTAATTAGTCTCCATATTTCTCTACCAACTGTCAAAGACATCATCCAAGAAGTATTACAACTCTTTACTAGTGCTAATAATTAGCCAAATGTGTCATATGAATTTCCAAATATATTAAAAAGAAAGTTAAGAGAAAAAAAATATTAAAGTGTTATGAACATAGAATAGATAGATAGAACATACCTGCATACACTTTAATTCTTCATTCATTTCAGTTAATGAGTCTCTTTCAGCTATAATTCTCTATAAACAATAACATCAAACAATGAATGCTGGAGTATTTAGTTCTGTTTGCAACAATAAGACTACATGATACTACATGAAGGATAATAAAATTATATGAAGTGGAGTGTTACATGTCCAGGCAAAACTTTGTACTGTGTGACTGTGAGTCCGTCGTCATTGGAGACAGTAAAAAGACGAGATTGATAGTGAAAGATAAGGAAACTATCTAGATCATCTCTTCCAATTTTACCAATTATTTTAAAATAGATGTTCCATCCTAGACCTGTCCATTTGAGACTGAGAGACTCAAATATCCTACTTTTGGCAAAGTTAGGACGTAGGAGATGATAGACCTATTAAGTCCAAACGACGTCTATAGGGCCTCTAGAAAGACTCATCTCTTTTGACAATAACCGAATTAGAGCCTTGGCAGAAAAAAGTTGTTAAAATTATTTTTTGTACGAAATGTATACTTTCTTTGCTTTAAACATAACAGGCCCGGTGTCGGCTTTCACCCCCTAATACTAAACATGGAATAAACATTGCACTTGAAAAAGTGTCTGGTAAGCCGCTTTCTGCAAATCATTTTTGAAACGTTTACTCGAGTGTCTGAGACGGGCAAACTGTTTTTACTTGCACTTGACACACCCACCTGGACCCACTTTTAAATCCATGTGAGATTTGAACGACCGCCACATGTTGTAATTGCTACATCTTTGTAGCCTACTACTTCATTTCACTTCCTTTTTCAGCAGTTTCCCAAGCGTTCAGGAGGTATTTAAAGGTATTACGGACCCATCCCCGTGCAACCCACCATTTTGATAACGAAAGATCGGTCCTACGACATCTAAGTACATGTCGTAGCTAATGGTCTTAAATCCTAAGATACGACCAAAGTTGCGATTGAATTTATTTCGTGAAATCCATCGTAAGTTTTACGAACAACTTGCAATCTGTTGCAAACTTAAGACCTGTCGTAACTCTTTTGTGAAACCGGCCCTGGGACCTTAAGATTAGTGAGAAAACATCCAACTCATTGTACTACCACTGCCTCCAAAAATGTAAGGTATATGGCAATTGAATAACTAATAGCAAACCTCTTTTTCTCTCTGTAAAATGGTCATCTTTTCTTGTGATTTCTTCAATTCAAAATCTATTTTGTCTGCCCTTTTTGTTTCATCTGATAATTTAGTTTGTAATTCATGATTTTGTCTTTTACACCAATCTAATTGTTGTTTTACTGAATCAAACCTTTTCATTGACTACAGAAAACAAATGAAAAAGAGTGTTTTAATTATGTAGACTCTCTTAAGTGATGTATAATACATACAATATCTCCAAAGGACAAGCTGAAATCTCAAAATGAAATGGAGCACAAGTCTTGAGACTTTGGAAGGCAGCTCCACATTCAGTGTATTTGTTTGATAGATTTAGACTGCTTAGATATTTCAACTTGTTTCATTGATGCCAAACAAAATTCAACCAACCTCTTCCATTTCTATTTTTTCTTGTATATATTTTGTTATTTGGTCACCTAATGATTGATTTTGACTTTTTAAAACTGTTATCTCCTCTGAAAATGGACAAATTACACAATATAAGATAAAGACAGAATCACTAACAATCCACTACTTCTAATATTCCAAGTATACAGGCAATTAACATGCAGTAATCTTTCAAAGAAAATCTAAATATGGGTTTGAAGACTCGATGAAAAGTGAATATATAAATAATACCTATTTTCTTTTTATAGGTCTCTATTGAAGATTCATACTTGGCCTAAAAAATAAAAAAATCTTTTTATTTGCCAGTTTGATTCTTGACAATTTAGAATAGATCCAATTGATAAACAATAACCATCAAAAGAACCAATTAAAAGGGGATTTTGCAATTTTTGAATAAAATTTTGAAATCTTTATTCATTAACAAAACTGTGATGGATATTTGTAAAATAATATTTAACCCAATTTATACTTACAGCTTGATCAGCAGCATCACGTAAACAATCCAACTCATCTTTTAATGCTCTAGCTTCTGAAGCTAATGGTGATAATTCAGCATTCTGAAATAAAAAACACATAATGATGGACAGTAAAAAATAAAATAAAATAAAAAACCTATAGCATTTTCAAATAGGCTTATATCACAGGGTTTGAACAGCACTAATATTCAAATGTGTTCTCCATTTAGGCTTAATTTACATTAACAAAATCAACAACAGCTTTGAAATAATCAGTATGAATTAATCAACCAATTCTGATTCATATTGAGTATGAGTTACTGCCCTTGTTCTTGAAAACGTGTTCAATTTTTAGCTCTTGAAAACTCTAGAAAGCAAATATTCAACCTTCTGAATAATAAAATGGTTTTGTAAAAGAAGGGCAATAACTTGATTCTTCTGATTTTCAATAGGGTTCATCCTTGGGTGATTACGAACACTCACACCAAGTTTTGTCAAATCTGTCTTGTAGAGTGTTTACGAGCAATCGGGGGCATATAAAAAAGGGAGGTAAGACATACGGTCAATACATGCCCACATGAGATGTGTGTGTATAAAAAGATCGACCTAAACAAGATTTCCTGCACAATGATATAATATGTAACTTACTTTTTCCTTTAGTTCTTCATAATCTTTCGTAGATACTTCATATTTAATTCTGTAGTCGTCTCGTGCTATTAGAATTAAACAAAATGTACTTCTTAGTGGAAAATAAAAAAGTTATCCTTTATGTGTTATGCTTCTTTTAGTTTAAAAGTATAATAGGCTTTATTCCTCAGATAATATCATATTAATCAATTACTTGTAACATAATTACATTGAAACCAAGCAAAAACACAAACCTTGTTCAACATGATATAGTTGTTCTTGTACTTGTTCCAACTGACTTTGCAACTTTTGTAACCTTTTACCTGCAGGTGTGCTGAAAAGAAAAAAATTTAATTTCAAACAAATCTTCTTGCTTAAATTATTAACCCTAGTGTTAACATCACACGCTTTCAGTCACATTACTTGGCATTAGTTTTATTTCATTTACACTCAGTATTCAGAAGGTAAAATCATGTAAACCAAGTGCTAAATAAAATAATACCATTCTTGTTGTAAGTGTAGAGAAAATTCCATAAGAACTATATTTTACCGTGGGTCATCCAGACTTTCAGCCTGATGTAATCTTTCTACCAGTTTTTCATTTTCTGTCTGTACAGCATTTTTCTCTTCTAGATATGTTGCTACCTGCATGTCTAATTCATGACATCTTTGTAATAGTTCTTCTTTTGATTCTAAGGCACTGTTCAATTCTTCAACTGTCTTCTTCAACTATAATATGATATGAAATTGTCCTAATTTCCTTTTGATGAGAGCGAATGTTGAAATATAATTTACATATGAAATAAAACTATTATCATACTCAGACAGGCATAATGCATGAAATATTTTGACTGATGACTTTAAATGTGTCCTGTTAAAAGGGCTCTTCACAGATGCAGACTATGCTATAGTTGGGTCCCTAACCATCAGAGATCTGGTTCATACTATTGCTATTGATGATTGTACAAGATCAATTTATCAGAAACAAAGAACTTATAGAAATTGTTATCATTCAGAAACTAATCAAAATAGAATAGTTATACCTGTTCTACAACCTCATTATCTGCTTCTGTTGGTGATGAGATTTCTTTAGACATCAGCTAAAATAGAAAATAAAATTTGTTAAATGTAAGCAACATATCATATGCACAATCAAGTGACAAGATCTAATCATGCAAGGCTGACACTCATAAGAAAACCTTGGATATGAGGTTAAAAATACTAGTGTATATTGCTTTTGACTTCTTAATATACAAACTATCTACTTCACTTTTAGAAATTTTCAAGTTAATTGAAATTTTATATAATCTTCTGATTTACAAATTATTAGAGAAAACATCTGAAAAACTTAACTCATCCTGGCAGTAACTTCTTTAACATAAACATAAATAGTATATCATTAAAATACAACATACCTCTTGAATTGCATTCATAATCATTTGTTGAACAGATTCTTCCATTTTTAAAATGTTGTGTATATGGGATTCTTTTTCTGCACAGTTTACAGCGCATCCCAACACTAACTGTAATAATCTGCTAGTTTCGACACTATCATAATGTTCACCTAGAAATAAAATATTACAATTAACAACAAACCCCAACACTAAATGTAATAATTTGCTAGTTTCAACACTATCATAATGTTCACCTAGAAATAAAAAACTTACTATATACCTTGTAATAAAATAATAAACAACATTCTAATTGTAATGAACTGCTGGTTTCCAGAAACAAAGAAGTAACTTGGCCAGCCAGTCTGGGGAAAAATATGGTGACCTGCTGATCAGGAAGTAGACTTTCATGTAACACTTGAATAAGAATAGATAGATGTTTCCAAATAACCCAAAGTAATGAAAAAAAGTAGTACTTACCTATTAAATTGACATCAGGCATTTGAAAACCTTGAATTTGTATGCCAAGTACCTGGAAATTAACATTTAGAAAACTTATCTTTCCTTTTTTTTTATAATTCTATACATTTATTTATTTAAAAAATCTGTAAATCAATGACAATTCAATGTAATTTTCTATAGAAATAGAATTTAATTTCTTCATATACGAGTATTATGTAATAAAATGTTAACAAACCTCCATATTGTACTCCAAGATTCCATTTAATACTTTCTTAAGATTGCTTACCTAAAACAGAATTAATTACAACCTTTAGTTTAACAAGGTAAAAACAAAACACCAACTCACTTACGAAGCACACAATTTACACGTGTCAAGATCAGATGAAATGAAGTAGAGGCTAAGCATAGATTATATAGTTGGGAGGACACCTTTAGTTTAACAGAATATTCAATTTGATATTAATACATCTAACTTTATCTTGACAATGGAAATAATTAAGGATTAAAAATACAAATAGAAAATACTATTACTGTTAATGCAAAAAGGGCATAATTGGGAAACCATTTAGTTTTACATACTTTTAACCTCCAGTTTAAATCATCTTCAACTTTTAATTTCTTAAACCAGGCTTCATTAAAATAATCTGGAGCTCTGAAACATATTAAATATAATATACACTATTACTGTACTAAGGAAGACAAATCCACATAACATCATAATTATTAGCTGGATGCAGTTACATATTGCAATGCTGATCCTAAAAGGTGTCCATGACCTCCAATGATTTTGAGCTCAAACTATTTTTAAAATGAAAGTGCCAAGGAGAGCCTTCTCTAAGATAGGGATGACTCACATTTGACGCAGGACTTGTGCTACTGCAATACCATCACTAAAATCTTCTACTGTTTGATTTTTAACTGTGACATTAAATGTGTTTAGCTAAAATATAAAAATATAGAAAAATCTTTATTGAGAATTATCATCTCTGTAACTTCACTACAGGGTAGGGTAGGCTTAGCCTACAATTCAGGTAGTTTCATGATCTGCCAAATTACCAGTACCATAGCTACAACTGATTGTATGATTTATGTTGGTTCCCAATAAAGAATAACAATTCTCTAATTGAGTTTCAATATAACTAATTAATTGCGATTGTATTTCATGACTACTTTGTTTTTAGCCTTAACTTTTAAACAGGCCCAACTAAACTTGTACCACAGGATTAGAATGAAGAAAACATACAACGCTGTGTAATGAGTATAAGTAGTAAGAGAATATAGAAATAATACTTAATTAACTGAAAAAGAAGTTAGAAAAAGTCTCCAGAGTAATAAAGATACATTTGCACCACCACCCACAAAAAAACCATGAAGTCGAAATGCCATTCAACAGCAAAACAAGAGTGAAATCATATCTTGTGGACCAACTTATGAATATATCAGTCCTCACCCATTTGATTAAGCTTTGGCACAGATGGCTTCTGTCCATGCTGAATTTTAAAAACTATATTCAGCTGTGAAATTTGCTTTGACAATTTTTAATCTTCCCAGTTTGAGTTTGTGACAAGTTTTCCAAGATGGCTAACATTCAAGATAAGATAATTCTAATTAATAAAACAAGCTACGGACAACAACTCTTGGCTAGGCGAAAGCAGTCGGAATATTGTTGCGATTTAGTTGAAATAGACCAAGTACTAACGATCTGAACCCCAAAACAAAACCCGAAATCAAAAACAAATTGAATGATGGATTTTAAGTTTGATTGCAAAATCTAAAAAAAAAAATCTGAATATGTTTTGTTTGTGAAATTTATAAGACTGAACAATGCTGTTTGGTTTCCCAGTTGTCACTTTTAACACAATGTCCGCGAAAGTGACGATTGCACTACCTGAAAATGAATTACTGCATGGCCTAGACAATAATGAGCGGTTGCAGCCTGAAATCATCAAGACTAATATCGTCATAATGACTTTTCCTTTACAGGGTTCAATGATCAACCTATATGATGTGTTGCTAATCTGCAGACCTATGATTGTGAGGAATTATTAAGTCCTATGTGTATGGTTGTAAGTTATTTGCAGAACTGAATGAGCAAATAATATATTATTTATCTACCTTAGATTTTAAGCTATTTTACAACTCACCATAAGTGAAGAAACTATTTAAAGGAGCACATCCAGATACAGATTAATTCATATAAGGATGGCATGTGGTCTTCTGATTATTTGCTCGATAAAGCCCGAGTCCTGCCTTTCGTATCTCTTTTCAAAATGAAAATACAAAAGACCTCAAAAGGTCAATAACCTGATTGACAGGCCCTACTGTTATATCAGACTAATTGCAAAGGCCTGGAAAATCAAACCGTTGTCAATTCAATTATGTCGTACATCAATTTTTTGCCATTTAAAAACAGACAAACCATACATCCTAATTTTTTTCTTTTTTTGCAAATTATCATATTTTAATATTTTTTTTTTAAATGTATAAGTCAAGGGATTGGCCTCTTTAATTCGTCCCATATACTGTTTGTAATCAATTGATAGTGAAATAATAACAATAATGATAGATATTTATAGTCATTGGTATACAGTCAAAAACAGATAATAGTCCACAAGTGAAATATGAGGAAAAAGACAATATACTTATATAAGTTTTAATCATTAGTCGGTAAGTCATTTTTATAGTATTTATATAATAAATGCCTCCTTCTTCGTGACTTTCTTTCTTCTTTTCTGCTATGAGACATTAACAAAATCCTAATTTCATTTGTTTATTTATTTCAATTTTATTTCATTTCCTAAAATTTCAATATTTAGTTTTCAGTTATGTTTTACATTGTATGTATTTCACATCGCATGTAAAGGTCAAATGAAGCCAAAGAATTTCAATATAAAGTAAAATATTTCTAAGAAAATGCTAACAAAAAAACAAAAACTAAACATGACATTTTGTTTTTGTCGTGAATAATACAATCTATAAACTTGTATCAGTAGAATACAGAAGTGAATAATACAATCTATAAACTTGTATCAGTAGAATACAGAAGTAAAATAAAACATGAGTATAAACATGTATCAGCGGAGTAAAGCAATAAATAATACAAGCTTGCATCATTGTAATAAAGAAGTGAATAATACACTCTATAAACTTGTATCAGTAGAATGAAGAAGTGAATAATACACTCTATAAACTTGTATCAGCAGAATGAAGAAGTGAATAATACACTCTATAAGGTTGTATCAGTAGAATAAATTTATTGAACTATATTTAATGTCTATCAAAAAGTCAATTATAAAAATAGAGAGGGTCCAATAAAAATTTACAAAGTTTAATTTATGGACAAGTTCCACACATTAATGTAGGTTATAAATCATTTGTGAAAATTACTGAACTGCTGTTGGTTAGGTGAATTGAAGAAAGAAGTTAAGAGAAAACATTTCGTGGGGTGTACCTCATCCAATTTACTTTACGGCACCAGTCTTCATCCGATATAACACACAGGTCCCGAAAATGACACTGCCTTGCCTGTATTTTTGATAAGAGAAAGAATTCGATAATATATTTACTGGGGGATAACACCTCCCAAACTACCCGACACGTGTAGTCTAAGTAAAATTTTTTCAAACCTTGCTTTATTTGTCAAATTCAACTGTATTTCAGGCCTTCACCAGTGGGATTGTAGCATTGGCAACAGAACTATCTTTGCTTATGTATACACATTAAGAAATGACACTAGCTTGCATTCTAAAATCACTAGAGTCAAACTAGGTCACATAAAATAATTTAAAGTTTCAGTTTTACCAGCAATGTTACCTTCTGAGGTCAGTTAATTAGTGCAAAGTGTCGATAAATTTCATTCTACATCTACTGAAAAGTTAAAATTAAGTGGAGCCCAAAAGTGTTTTTCTTATTTTCTGTAATTGAAGGTTTCCATGCCTCTTACGCCAACCATCATATTAACGCTTGTTATTATGGAAGGCGGAATGGCTTTTTATTCAATGTTAGATAAGAATTTAGAAATAATAATTAAGAAAAAGCAATGAAGAACATTGAATAAAAAGCCACCCCGCCTTCCACATCACATGTTATGGCGTATCCATTATTGGGCCAAGAATACACTTACTCATTTTCATAAAAGTCAGAACTATGGGTTGTCCTACTTTAGCTGCCCTGTCCACTATCAGCTCTCTATCTCTTATTTCATATTTTGTTGACAATATTATCCAGGGTTGAATTGGTCAAGATATCATATTATCACAGTTAAATATTGGTTTAAGATTTAAAATGACCTTATTATGTTATTTTCTCATTTCGATCAGGTATCAATCAATCGTATCATCTAAACTAATATCATCGTACTCGCCACAACATACTCCCATCTGAAAGTAATGCATGATTTATCATGAGCTTTTATATGGTTAAGACCTTAATAGCCCATATAGCAACCTTGAAATCAGCACAACATTTTCACTCTTCCGGAACACCTGTTTTTGCTCTCTAACTACTTGGGTTTGTCAACTCGGACACCGCTTTGAAGCATCGCAATGGCTTGCTATGTTTTCGGGGGTTAATTTAAGTCATAAATATATGTACATATTCAGTTCTACTATAACTGCATGGTTATGCATAACCCCTTCAAATATACATCAAACTAGAAATTTTACTTTCATTTTATATATATGACGTTTCTTTATATGTCGGAGTATCAAGAAAAGACGTGTCGTCATTTTAAGTTCCAAACGCGGACGGATTTGAAGGCTTTATAATATTATCAAACCTTTTCAATGCCCCAAAACAAGTGCGAACTGGTCAAACTTCAGACTGCAATTCTCAAGTTGTCGAAAAAATACACTAATTCCTAGTGTAGAGCAACCTCCAGGTTGTTATTTGTTCTTGATAATTTTTCCTCCCTTTTTCAGGAATGGCTGAAAAACATCGACGGAGGATCGGGCAATGGAGGTGTGCAACTGTAACGCTTTTACTAGTGTGTGCTGTGCTTATAATAACTATAATGGCAATAGCTATTATAAAAAACAGACATTTAGAAGAAAGGTGGGCGCCACTATGTGGACAAAGTGACAATGTTATGGATCTTTCGGAACCAAATGATCCTGGAATTTTTAATGATCTCACTTCCTCAGAATTGAGATCTATTAGACAATATTTACAATCAGCCAAAGACCTTAATTTGGCTTCGGCTGAACAATCAACAATTAACAAAAGTTTTATTTATACAGCAGATCTGTTCTTGCCATCAAAATCCAACATGTTGCTTCATCTAGATATGGACATTGAAAAACCAGCTAGGGAAGCACGGGTAATAATATTCCGTGGTGACCTTAAACCAGCCATTGTCCAAGAATACATAGTTGGGCCACTTCGCAAACCCGAATACCATTATATGCTAAAGTCCAATTCTCGGAAAAACCCTATACCAGATGCATTTAAACCACTTTCTATGTCAGAATTAGATGCAGTTATGGATAAGTTCTTAAATGACATCAACTGGCAGCTATCAAGAATTTTACAAGAAAGTTACGATGCTGTTTTCCTTGAATGCGATAGCAAATGCTTGAAACTTATTCCAGTGCCGTTATCCCCAGAGCTCAGCATGGCACCCGCCAGAAAGCTTCTCTTCCAAGCCTTTTACGACGTCAAATATTACTCCCTATTTCCATTGGACCTCATGTTTCTTTTTCATTTGAATGGTACTGATAAATCGAGCTTCTATTTGGACCAGATTGTGTATGCTGACCAAATATTCAATTCCGTTAAAGAGTTGCAGTACAGGTACATTGAGGGAGCAATCCACAAAACTGCTATACCTTTCCCAGTGCCCGATTCCAGATCTTTTACTGATTTGGAAGGCGAAGGAGCAGACTGGCATAATTCTAAACGGAAACCGAGATTGGTGGAACCTGATGGACATAGATATAGCATTCATCATCAACACATTAGCTACATGAATTGGAACTTCCATTACAGGCTATCAACTCTAACCGGACCCGCATTGTACGACGTTAACTTTGGAAAAGAGCGTATTGCGTTTGAAATAAGTCTGCAGGAAATAGCGGCCCATTATTCCTCCTCCAGTACAGGTGCACAAGCAGCTAACTTTGTTCATGGCAGTTTCTTGTTAGGAACCCAAGCTAAATCCCTTATTCCAGGCACTGATTGTCCAGAAACTGCAACCTTTATAAGTAGTTCCTTTATGGCTGAAAAGTCAAGTGAACCATATACCACTGAACGAGCCATCTGTCTATTCGAACTGAATTCAGGGACTCCGTTACGGCGTCATCTCGCGTATACAGCTAAGGATGATGGATTTTATGACGGAATGGCAGATTCGTCTTTAGTTTTAAGGACCGTTTTTGCCATTAGTAATCATGATTATATAATTGACTATATATTTCACCAAAATGGCGTCTTAGAAACACAAGTGACCCCTGCTGGCCACCTCCGCGGTATGTTTCACTCTGGTCATCAAGAGCGCTATGGATATCAACTAACTGATCACCTAGCTGGCGTCATACAGCAACAGTTGTTCCACTTCAAAGTAGACCTGGATGTGTTTGGTACTTCAAATCGCTACCAGACTCTTAAAGTTCAGTCCAAAAGAATTGCAAATGGCGGTAGACCATTTTCACAATTGATGTACAAGTACGATCTTAAACAGACTGAAATGGAGGCAGCATTCTCAAACGATAGAAACATTCCCACATATCACTTATTTTATAACAACCGCAAGAAAACTGAGCATCATGTACTAAGGGCAATCAGAGTCGACTTGGGTGGATCACCCGTGCAACTTTCACAAGAAACACCATTATCATGGTCAAATTACCAAATAGCAGTTACTAAATATAAACCTGATGAAAGGTCAAGCAGTTCACCTTATGCCGCCTACGATTCTACAGATCCAGTTGTAAATTTTACCAAGTATATTGAAGATAATGACAATCTCATTGATAAGGTAAGGTCATGTTTCACGTTCAAGTTTATTATTAGATAATGTCCCTTCTAATTTGATAATAGCCGATTTTGTCTGGACTTGTTTCGAATGCAGAATGTTCTTTGAAATAATGGTTTTGAAATCCATACGAAAGACGGATCAGTAAATTACTTAGACTCGGATAAGGAAAAACTGATAACATTCTACAATACGAAGACTGTGCTCCAGTTTCTGCCCTGCGACTGGAAGAACAACCATGAACTGCACTAGTCGACAGAGAAGTTTATTTGAATTCATGAATAGAGGAAGAAAACTGTCTTTCATGATTATTCAAAGATTGTTATTTCGTATTTCAGGATTTGGTACTATGGATAACTATGTGTATCTATAACATACCACATTCAGAAGAATTACCCTTAATATCATCAGTCAACAAACACCGCAGTTTTTATCTTATACCATTCAACTACTTTCCCTCGGATCCATCTCGTTCATCGAAAGACTCTGTTCGTGCTGTACACAATGATACCAGTAGACTAGACGAGGGGATTCGATTTCTCGTGGATGACTCACAATCGTACCAGAGATGTATCATGAACGAACTCAATCTGACAACGGTTGTTGATAACCCTGATAGTGTATTAGAAACGGAACACACCAGAACAATTTTATAAAACTTTGTCTTTCAATTTATAGATACCTCAGTTTGAAGGAAGTGGATAGTTGTGGTCATTGTGTTGGTCCATTTCAAGTTCGAGATAGCACCTGAAGGCACACGTGGAAATGTGACAGTACATGCTTCCTTTGATCAGAAACACTCTTACACACAAAATGAATTAAATTCTTGGCCTAATTAAGGGGGTTTGGGTTCAATGTCGTACAGTATGCCTAAGGGTAATTTTTTAGAAGACCAATCGATTTGCGTTCAAGTTTAATGAAGAGCTAATTCTGAAGAAGTATCTGTTTTCTAATCTGGGTAGCAAGACTGGATGGTTTAGTATAGTCTATTATCTTTTGTGTGGTTTTAGAATATATTTGTAGATATATCATCCGTAATTAATATGTAGGGTATAGAAATTTAACAAAACTCGGACTTACTCCTATTCTACAAATCTTTATGTGGTAGTGTTCCTTTAATAAACATATAAAATTTTCTGACAATTTCATCTTTTATTGGAGAATGATGAGTTTCTGAAACATGATGCCAATTTTCATATCAGTTATCAGGCGTCAGTTCTTCCTTGAAAACTCATTGAAATTTAGGTTCTACAGCTTGCTTTCTGATAACCATGTTTTCTTTATGTACAGTAGAAACCGTATTAAGAGATCACGCAGGGGAAAATTAAAAAACGGTCTCTTACTGGAGAAGTAAATGAAGTATAATTCAAAAATTATACAGTATATATATATACTACATAAATATCATCTGTTAAAGCATTCATGCATGGTATTGATCTATTGAAATGAGAGAGGTATACAACAAATATTGACCAATGACCACATTAGCTATAATTATATACACCATGAACACTCAGTAAAATCACTTGAAGCTCCGAAAGCAGTATGGACAAAAAAAGGTAAGTTTTTTTTACAATTCCGTTATTTTCCCAGATGACAGATATTCTTTGCCCGATAAAAAAAATGTAACATTATGTTTCATTTGAACGTTTTATTGCTACGATTTGTCATTACAGAAGTCATTACCAGCTTTCCATATCCCTTCTGAGATCGAAAACACGTGATTAAACACATACCGAAATAGATTAAAAAAGTATCCTGCCCTTACCCTACCTTACATAACATCTACTTTCTAATAACGTAATAATATTTAACTCGAATGGTTTGTTAAATGTATTTATATAATTTGTAGTTTAGTACGACAGTGATAGCTTGCCAGGCAAAGTAATATACGCCCACTGGTAGCTTTGATTTTAAATAAGAAATTTGGCAGTAGTTCAGTAACATTCACCAGTCTTAAATGACTTTTGTTTATTGTCTAAAAATATATACGCGAGGGCAGGGGCAATAACTCATATAAAATTTAAAAAAAAATTCAACAGGGTTCATCCAAAGGCGGTATATAATAACACAAAGTTTCTTCTAAATCCGTCAAATATTGTGTCTTCTTGAGAGTTTACGAGCTAAAAATTGGACCCTTTTTTTAAGAACATTGAGAATGTAGCGATATTTGTAAATATGTAACGTATTATATATATAATTTATATGAACTGTGTCGGACTCTGTCGGACGAACCATGAAACAGTACTACATCCTAAATTCTCCAGCAATTACAGCCAAGGAGACAAAGTATTGCACAAAAACAATTTAGTACATTTTAGAATTTTTATTGGCTATCGTATAATCTATACACTATGAAACACACTAGGTCAATAATCATGTTGAATAGTGACTTTTTATTGGTAAAGCACAAACTGACAATAGATCTGTAGTCCTGTAATTTTCCAATTTACAAGAATCTCATCTCTAAGAGGTTAAATTTATTGGGAATTGTAAGCGGCCTTTGAACCATGCCAAAACGTTCAATACATCTGACATTCCTGGATTTTTACGCCTATTATGTTTGTTTACGACAATTTCAGTGGTCATCGGGAGCATAGTGTAATATAGTCCGAAACATGTGGCTCTTTTCTAGTTTAGTCCAAAGAAAAAGACCCTGTTAAATGAGGATTTTCCACACCTCCAAAGATGCGTTTCTCTAACATAATAATTAATTACCTTTTAGATGATTGTAATAAATGTTGAGCATCACTGTAACTTTCGTTTTGTCACGTGACTCTGTGACCTTTGAACTTTTGACTGCGCATCACTTTTAATTGGCCGATGCTCGAGTTTCGCTAAAAAGACTTTGATGGAACCGGACACATGACATAAATGGTGTAGGGAGAAAATGATGGTATGACTGAACTACAAAATATTCACCTTTCCAAATATACCTGGGTATTGCTGATTCGAGGTATCTAAATAGTTTATAAACCCCATGTCCCTTTTAACAGGGCTTATTATTTCTGTCTCTACATCAGCTTACATACTGTCCAAATAGCTATCAGAGGCTGGAATAGAGACAGATGTTTCGGTGTGTAAGTGTAACAGCGCAAATTGGCACAGCGTCTTTAAACACAAGGCATATAGATATAAAAAGATTGGATGCACAACTGAATTACTATAGATAATAATATCCCAGAACCTATAATATTTAATGAAAGTTTGGATAGTTGTAGAGACCCATGCTACTAAAAACATTGTATTGATTGTGGTGAGGGGGTGGGGGTGAGTGAAACGTAGACCTACTACTCGAAAAATTTTATGATTTTTAGAATATGATAAATAACATGTCACGGCAAAGATTGCGTTAGTATCGAGTACAACCATAGTGTTTATCTTTCTCACTACTCAGAGGGAATAGATTTTAAGATTGTGTATCAAGTATATGACGACATAAAAGTCCGCGTTGGACCTTGACACGAAGGATTCATTGTTTGCATTGTTGATGTAGAGTAATCCGATATTAGATACTGTTTAAGAGGGACACAATGGCTGGGGATGCTAAACGGGATACTCGATATTCGTAAGTTTCTATTATTATTTTATTCGACAAAACTGTGATGATTGAAAGCTTGACTCGCCCGAAGTTCGTCTATTGAAATTCATCGTTAAGACATAATTTGGCCTAAATTTATAAACTCCTGACTGCAATGTTGACTGCAAATATGACAAATATCCCGTTTGCATTACTAATATTCTGACTGCATTACTAACATCCTTTACAAATAACATAACTGCATTACAAATATCTTGACTGCATTACAAATACCATAACTGCATTACAAATATCTTGACTGCATTACAAATACCATAACTGCATTACAAATATCCTGACTGCATTACAAATACCATAACTGCATTACAATTATCCTGATTGCATTACAAATACTATAACTGCATTACAAATACCATAACTGCATTACAATTATCCTGACTGCATTACAAATACCATAACTGCATTACAAGTACCATAACTGCATTACAAATACCATAACTGCATTACAATTATCCTGACTGCATTACAAATACCATAACTGCATTACAATTATCCTGACTGCATTACAAATACCATAACTGCATTACACGTACCATAACTGCATTACAAATACCATAACTGCATTACAATTATCCTGACTGCATTACAAATACCATAACTGCATTACAAATACCATAACTGCATTACAATTATCCTGACTGCATTACAAATACCATAACTGCATTACAAATACCATATCTGCATTACAATTATCCTGAATGCATTACAAATACCCTAACTGCATTACAATTATCCTGACTGCATTACAAATACCATAACTGCATTACAAATACCATAACTGCATTACAATTATCCTGACTGCATTACAAATACCATAACTGCATTACAAATACCATATCTGCATTACAATTATCCTGAATGCATTACAAATACCCGAACTGCATTACAATTATCCTGACTGCATTACAAATACCATAACTGCATTACAAGTACCATAACTGCATTACAAATACCATAACTGCATTACAAATATCCTGACTGCATTACAAATACCATAACTGCATTACAATTATCCTGACTCGACACAAACATTCTAACTGCATTAGAACTGTCTTCGCCGCTTTACTAATATACTGAATACTGACTGCTTTACAAATATCCTGACTACACATATCCTGACTGTATTACAAATATCCTGGTTGCATTACAAATATCCCAACTACAAATATACTAACTGCATTACAAATATACTAACTGCATTACAAATATCTTGATTGCATTACAAACATGCTGACTGCATTCGAAATATCTTTGCTGCATTACTAACATCCTGAATCTTTACTTTACAACAAATATTCTAAGTGATTTACAAATGTCTTTTACCTTACTGTATACCAAATATTCTATTCTGACTACATTGCATATATCCTGACTGTATTACAAATGTCCTGACTGCATTACAAATATCCTGACTGTATTCCAAATATCTTACTGTATTACAAAATCCTGACTGCATTAGAAATATCTTGAGTCCTGATTATATTACTGACTGCAATACAAATATCTCGTCTGCATTAGAAATAATCGTTTGTATTACAAATAGCCTGTTTGCATACCAAATATCTTCTATGCTATTTTATTACAAAAATCCTGAATTCCAAACAAATTGACTGCATTCAAAATATACTACAAGTATCATTGCTTGAATTTGAGTAATCCCGAAAAGGTCAAAAGCATTCTTTTTGCATGTTTGACAACAAATGTATTATTACTATATATGCTGAACCCTTAACGCGTACATTAGCGAAAGCGTCAAAGACCCTTGGTTACAGCAATGACAAATGATTGCATTTGAGGCTGGCAGTGAATCTTTCTAGGTAACTTTAACTTGAACGGCGAAGATTCACGTTCCCATGTCTGTGGCAGTGGAATAACCGATCGTTAGCGGGTTGATGCCGCAGACTCGAATTCTACTATAGGTAACAATCCTGATACTACCGCATGGTGTCGGCTAAGTCTCTAACGGCAAGTATTGTCTGTTGACAAAATGATAAAGTCTTGTTAATTCTCAGGATTTTTGAAGACATGCTACGAATTACACGGTACCTTCAATCTGAGTGTAATTGGGAATTAGAGTATACTAAGGTTTTTATTTTTCTGTGCTGTACTTGCCACCCATGATCGCTCCAATTTGCACGTGGAAGAATAAAAAGATTTTTAAAAAGGTAGCTTCACGACATAATTTATGCGATATGTGTAAAAAGAAACAAAAACAGTTGTTTTTGACCTATTAACACCCTGTGGTAAACAAGTTGTTTTGAATAATAGGAATATAAAACCATATCATTTAAATATGAAGTTTGTTATACGTATATAATCTAACCTTTACCCACGTAGACATGTGTCCTAACTATTGTTGTAATATTATGTAAATGAAAATTCACAACTGGTTAGAACATAGCCTTAAACTGTTGGCCATGTGGACCAATTTACACAAAGAGACAAAGCTGTAGGTAAATAAAGAAAAAAAACAAGAATCTACTACATTCTCATTATTGATAAGACATACACTACACAAACTATGTTCCGTCAATTTTTGATCCAACCGCGTCTTTACAATGCCATAACATTTGCTAATCAATCGAAAACATCGTGAAAATTGTTCTGACAATTCAAAACAATATTGTTCATTGAAATACCCCGTATGCCACCGAAGTAACAATTATACAAAATATGTAAGACCTTTCCGTTTATCTTTTCAGGAGCATTGCTGGGAAAGGTGGTGGAAGAAAATGGATGATCGTTAGTATCTTGTTTGGACTGATAGCACTTGGACTACTTGTTGCCCTTCTGGTTGTTATATTTAGAATTGGGCATGAAAATCCTAAGGAAAGTGATATATGTGAAGGTGACGAGTCTATCGACGTTTCTGAATCTCCAGATCCGGGAGTTTTCCATGACCTGACGAAGTCTGAGTTACGTTCCTTACAAGATTATCTCTATTCCGATAAAGCTAAGAATTTGAATCTAGTTCGACCGTCCAAAGCAGTTACTAATTCTAGTTATGTTTACCTTACTGATTTGCTTCCTTTAGATAAGGCCGAGGTATTGAGGTACTTGGATAACAATGGCCCTAAACCACTAAGAAGAGCTAGAGTTATTATCTTCCGAGGTGACTTGTCCCCTCCAATTGTAGAAGAATACATTGTAGAACCTTTTCCAAAACCATCAAGGCATCGCCTGTTTTCAATTTCAACTCGACCTGATCAAATACCGTACGCCTACAGACCAGTTGGTATTGTGGAATTTAGTGCGGTTTATGAGATTTTGGTCGATTTGGATAACACCCTAGGATCCATATTGAAAGAAAGTTACGATGCTACCATTTCAAACTGCGGTGATAAGTGTCTGAATTTCTATCCCCACCCGGTGTCGTCAGCAATCTCACAAAAAGATGTACGCAAAATGTGGTTCGAAGCTTGTCATAACGCACCATATTATATGCTTCATCCTGTTGATTTTGCTGTTTTGGTGAACGTCGACGGCTCTGATGCATCAAAATACCATATCGAAAAAATCATCTACCACAAAGAGTCATTTGACACTGCAGAAGATCTCAAAACTAAATATTATGACGGTAGCATGGTTACAAAAAGTAAAATACCCTTTCCTGAAGTCAATAAGAACTTATTCTCCAACTTGGATTATAAAGGAGACGAAACTAAGAAAAACAAACGTGCACCATTGCTAGTTGAACCTGATGGCAAACGATATGAAATAAAACACAGACAAGTCAAATATATGGATTGGAAGTTTGACTTCAGGATGTCTCCATTAACTGGTCCTCAGATTTATAATATAATGTATGGTAATGATAGAATTGCATACGAGGTTGGTCTTCAGGAGATTATAGTTTTTTATTCTGGAGCAAACCCTGCAACCCGAATGACCGACTTTGTTGATAGTGGTGCTCTCATTGGAACCCATTCTAAAAGTTTGATTCCTGGTGCAGATTGTCCCGAAACAGCTACATTCATGTCCGCTTCCTTCCTTAGCGAGGTGACCGAAGAACCTCATACAAACGAACGAGCTTTCTGTATTTTTGAACAGAATACAGGGGTTCCACTAAAGCGCCATTTATCTTATGCAATTTCCGAGGGTGGTTTTTATGGTGGTGTTATGGATAATGTATTAATTCTAAGAACAATTTTAACCATTGTAAACTATGATTATATCTTTGACTTCATTTTCCATCAAAATGGCGCGATGGAAGTTAGGGCTGTGTCTACTGGATATATCTATACTACATTTCACTCGCCCGAAGAAGACAAGTATGGATTTAAATTAAATAAAAATATCATAGGTAATATGCACCACCATAATTTTCACTTTAAAGCAGATCTTGATGTACTAGGAACAAGCAATAGATACGAAACCCTCGATATCCTGACTGAGGATGCCGATAACAGCATGTGGACGGGAATCGAAGGCGATGTATATAATCAGATATACTACCAACGAAATCTGAAAAATACCGAGCGACAAGCAGCTTACAAATTTAATTTTGATACACCGAAGTATCACATTATTCATAATGGGGACAAGAGAACTAGATACGACGCACCGAGGGCATACAGAATACATATAAATGGCATGTCAAAACAAACTTTAAAAGAAGATCAAGGTAACGAGGGCACTGTTAAATGGGCCAGATATCAATTGGCGGTGACTAAATACAAAAAAGATGAATTTGGAAGTAGTTCACCATACAAAATGTTTGATGCTAGATCACCTATTGTGGATTTTAAAACATATATTGATGATGATGAAAATATTGTAGATGAGGTAAGTGTGAAATTAATGGTTGTTAGTGTGAGTTTGTCATTAGAAATACCACAAATCGATAGCATTGATTTTCTTTCGTTGTGAAACAAAACAGTGAAAAAATTGGAATCTTTCGGATGAAAGCGACATAATATAGGGGTAGATATCGCATTAAATAACTTAACACAAATTTATGGTATACTTATTGTTTTATTGTACACAACGTTTCAACAATTTACATTTTTGCCGGAGTTGTCACATATGTGTAAAACAAAAATCTGGAGTAATATCATAATCACATATCATCATCTATACCTTATTATCATCATCATAATAGTTATTATCATCACCACCTTAATCATCATCATAATAGACATTATCATCACCACCTTAATCATCATCATTATAGTTATTATCATCATCATCTTAATCATCATCATGATAGTTATTATCATCATCATCATGACTACTGGAAGTAGGTTTATCAAATTGCCTTCCATTCCACTGAAGTAATATCCTAATATTATTGGTCCTTGTTCGAATCACTCGTAATCTTAAATCTCTTTTTCAGGATCTGGTTCTGTGGCTGACAATGGGAGTACATCATATTCCTCATACTGAAGATCTACCCATTACACCAACTCCCGGGGCTCATCTTAGTTTTGCTCTGTTACCGTATAACTATTTCGATATAGATCCATCAGTTCATTCCCCAGATACCATAACAGTAGCACATAAAGATAAAGCTAAACCAGAAGAAGGTGTTCTTTACCGCTTATACTCGAATGCATCTCGCAATACTTGTAGATTACATTACAAAGATTTCCAATCAGATTATATTTCAAATCCCGATTTAGTTTTACAAAGCAAAAATAAAAAGGGTCTTTTTTAATAATCTTTAGAAAAACTTAACTTTTTTACATCTTAAAAAATTAACCGAAATATTGAAATCTTATTGGTTTATAAAGTGAAAGAGATCAATCGGATTAAGATCAGATATGTCATTGTGAATTATGTCCCTGATTTTTGTTGTTCCTTTTGGTGATTCTATAACCAATTAGCTTTGTCCATCTTTCGTTGCTCTTTCATCACAAGCCACAATTAGTTTACAAAGTTAGAGTGAAAGATGATGTTTTTTACGTTATTGATTTTCCTTGTTTATAATTTCTATACAATTTTATTCTGCTTGCTATGTAGTGAAAATATCATATATAAAATATACCAACTTGTAGTTTCAATGTATCATGGTGTTAAAACATACTTCCCTAGTCTCTGAAGGTTACTAGAAAGATAATAATTTCTAGACCTTAACTATCAACATCACTATACACTCAAAGTTAAAATAGTTAGACGTCCTTAGCTTAACAACTAGTTAGTCTTTCAAAAATGCATACTACTCATAATATATTATGTTTTTTGGGTTGAGTGTCAAGTCACTGATTGACCATTGAATAACACAGAGACCTAATTGTCTCCAAATATATTGAAAATAGACATCTGTGTCAAGGCAAGTTGAAAGATGACAAGTTAGCATCCACTTACAACTAATTGAAATAGCAGACTAGGTAGTTGTTGCCAGTCGTGGTATTTGAAAATATGATCAAGATCAATTGCATGGTGCATTTGCATAAATCATAACGTTGTGGTTTTTTAGAATACAGAAAGTCAGTATGTATATATCTATATCAATATCAGTATGTATATATTGATGCAGAATGCACCTATTTTTGTAGGGTGGTCTGATATTCCTTAAAATGATGTGGTACTAGTCCTGTCCAGGGTCAGGTATTTTTTTATATTATGATAAAAACAAGAATTTGGCAATTTATATATTTTTTGTATAAAAAAAAACATTTAATATTCAGAACATAATATATATAAACAGTCTAGTCATAACCAATATAACTCTAAATAATTCTTCAAAACATATTGAACTATACGTATACACGTATATCACACGAGTACCCTGATCCTCAAGATAGCATTATTTGATTGCAGCTTAATGACACCTGTGGTATAAGAACAGCCAACACCAGGAACACAAGTTTATGAAACCCTTTTCATATTTTTCTCGTGTTGAAATACACCAGATTGTTGAATTATGTCCAGTAATTATCTAGATAAAGATCATAAATATAAATACATGTTTTATCATTATTCTCCTCTTTGAGTAAATTATTGAACAACGTTATACATCGTGGTATTATTTATGTAAAAATCATGGTTATTTCGCATTCAAAGTTGATCCTAATGGTTAAATATTTACTTTGGCTGCCTGTAGACAACATAGAAACATGAAACGTACAGAAGGATAATTATCTTTGTTTGGTGGTAATCAATCTTCAACTTTGCTTTTCAAAATTTCAATTTGTGATATAATGTATAAAACCTGCTGTAATAATATAATTATATAATATTCTCTCAATTTGAATAATTCAAGCAACTGTATAACTCTGATTTTAATTTATCAGAACTCCAATGTTGAAATTTTGAATTTATACTTGGCGTTTAATGAAAAGAGTTCAAAATTCGTGATGAATAAACGAGTTGAAGTATGTGGATTAATATTTGAATATATAAAAGGGTGTCCAGTTGAAAAACCCAGTCGCATAGTGGTAGCAGATGTCCTGAAAAGTAAGCATGGATCATTTCACATTTCCCTAAATTCAATATTGTTATATTAAATTTGATCTCAAGGCGTGTACAGCTAATAGGTTGAACAAAAAACCTCGGTGACACTAACAAAAATTTTATTATCATTATTATGGAGGGGGGTCGTTCTCAGAAGTATTCACAAAGTCAAATTTGAAAATAAGGCGTTGACGTTACAAAATTTTGTTTCCACATTATTTAAGGATTATGTAAATGAGGTAGGTCACAATACTTTATATGGTAAACGTTCAAGAATTCAGAAGTTGACCTTACAACTCTCAAGAATACAGTCACAGAACTTACATCTTTTAAGAAAGCAAAGTCAAGAAGACATAGTTGATTATGTCAATAATGCAAAGTTAAGAATTTATTTTCGAAAAAGAAATTTTGAATGTTGACTTTAAGATTGTTGTGAAGTAAATTATGATTATCTCTACTTTGTAATTAGTAGATTGACTTTTTGATTTTAGAAAGGTTTATTTTGTAGTTGGATAATGTGGAAATTTGACTTTGTAAAGTCGGGAGCACTATTTTCAAGTTTGACATTTTGAATACTTTTGGCAACAAATACAAAATTACCTTCAGTTACAATCTTCCATTTCTACCACAACTAGGTACTTCAACAATCCAATGACATGACAGGACTGAAAAGGGTTCATAACGATCATCCTATAGAATAATATTACTAATAGTTTTCTTTTTGTCATGTCAATACTTTGTATAGTATAGTATAGAAAATTGTCTCATGCAATAAAGTTTTGTTGTTTTGTTTTAATAAATATATGATAAAGATTTAATCATTTAAGAATATTGATAGGATAGTCGTTTATTTTGTAAAAAGTGACTGGCTTGCAGCTAAAACTAATTAACTGAAATGGCTAGCAAAAAATCAGATGGATAAAGCGGCTAAAACGGATTTCCTTAATTAAATTCTCACACATACACACCATAAACATATATTTAGCATCTCAGTTTTTAACATAAATCGTTCATTCAAATTATTTGTCAATATTTCGGTACCCAAGCAGGTAATGTTAACCCCTTGTTATAGTTGTTTGGAGTTGTGTAATCAAGCTATGATTAAAAAATAAGTCATCATATCCGGCTACAGTCAACTTACCAGGCTTGCTGGTGGGACTGTTATAAGTCTTTAGGAATTTGAATAATCCTCGTACAGAACAATGTGAATGTTAATTTGCCACATATTCGTTGCCCCTAGAAGACCTTTTTATCGATATTTCTATCACACATAATAGCTTTCATTAACAACATTTTACTTGTGTAACTAGCTCAAATACTTGTTTACAAAGATCTTCAGACTGCAAGAATTATATATTTACACAAACAGTGTTTCGTATAAAAAGTTTTATAATGTGGAAATGCTTCCATCTAAATCTCAATATATTGAACACATGGTATGCGTACCATCTTTGAAACACTGTGCTATCATCTGTTGCAAGGTATTTTGTAGTTTTAAAACAAAGAGTGAATGGACTAAAAGGAGTTTCATATAAATTATGATTGTAAAAAGATACTAATACACTATGACACTGTATAATTGTGACATCAGATTAAAATTGTGTTACATGCTTTTTCTTGTGATTGAAATAAGAGCGTCCCAGAGCAGCTCAGATGGATTAATGATCTAAAATGGTTATGGTTTTAATGGATGTTGTGAGAGACCACGACGTGGCACAAACAAAAATATCACTGTTGAAGTGGCATTTTGGGTTTTTCACCATAGATGGAATAGATGAAAAACGTCAGGTCATGTCGATAAATGGGTTGCTACACTTAATATGGCAAGACGATTTCTTACGATGGGATGCACGCCAATATGGCAACATACAAAATATTCAATCAAATCAAATTTGGACACCAGATATTATGATTCTAAATGCTCATGATAAATTTGGAAAGATTGAATTAACACCATCTAGAGTTAAAGCGTTCTTTAATGAAACTGTCCATTGGTAACCTGGTGGTCGGATAACAGTCATCTGTAACATAGATATCCATCTGTTTCCGTTTGATAACCAAACGTGCGAAGTTGTGGTCGGTCCGTGGGTAGACTTAGATTTGTACCTTAGTATAATAGAAAATCCAAAGTTTTATGAAATGTACAATGTAACCGATCCTGAATGGATCTTGGTGAATACGGATCATACCTTTTTAAAAAAATAACATGTCGCATTCAAGTTTTATCTATCGAGAAGATATGCATTTCATGTCAGCAATATTATTATTCCTTTGTTGATTTTGTCATCGCTGATTAATCTGGTGTATATTTTACCAAGCGAATCAGGCGAAAAGGTGTCTCTATCAATTTCTATACTACTTGCATACATTGTTCTGATGAATTTGATATCAACTGTACTACCAGCGAACTCAGACCAAATCTGTCTGTTGTCTGTATACATCATAGCTCAGATTGTCCTCAGTGCTCTCTCAACACTAGCTACTGTACTGGAGTTAAAGGCAACATACTCTGGAAAGGAGTGTTCCAATGACAACAGTCGTCCAGTATCATATTTCACAAAGCTCTTCAGTCGTTTATCCCCAAAGAGAGTAAACGCTGTAGCTTCCTTATTTACCATTACGTCTACTTTTATTGTCAATATTGTATTTTATCTTAAACTTATGAACTAACCTATTATATTCGTACTTCCTTGGTATTTATTTTGATTTATTTTGATAGCTTCTTTGTATTAGTGGTAGTAATAATTGAGTGTAATTTCTTGCATTTGTTGGATGCATAATACATTATTCATTGTTTGTGTCAATTGATTACATTTTGTTATTTGCGTTACCTCCCTTGATTACATAAATTACCATTCTATAATAAGCTGTATAAGGGTCATTCGGCAATCCTTAGCAGTTTCCGTAAAGCTGAATGTGCCTATTGTATATTTTTTCTGGAAGAAAGGCGATTCAGTTTGGCCCCGAGCAAATGGCCGTGTATATTTCTTCCTGTTACATTGTCCGTGAGTCACGACAGATTAAATTAAAAATAGACCTACTCAAAACAGGTGTACTGTAGGCTAGACTACTAATAAACACGTTTCATAGATTTAAAGGATGCCCTTTATGGCACTGTTGCAGTTTCGACCCCTTTTCCTTCCCGTTCAGGACAAATATAAGTACCCCTCTGTCATGTTTCAAATCGATAGCTCAACGGGAAGGAAAAGATCCGTTTCTTCAGTCGAAACGTTGTTCGTTTATTTCCTTTATAATTTAATG